ATATGAAAGACCACTCAAGTGCACTATCATATTTTGAACGTGTTCTGCGTATACTACAGCGTACTTTACTTGGAACTCATCCTCATATCAAAAGTATGAAACAAAGTATTGAAATTGTAAAATAAAAGTAGTGGATCAATAAAAAAAAGAAGGTTTTGTTCACTTATTGCTGAATTAATTCTACGTTTTAGGTCCCTGCGCGTACATACAGAAAGCATCTCTATAAAATAAAATAGAATCGTAATGGACAAAGCCGACCGATAAGGTGTCGGTGTGAGCTAAAAGAAGATACACCCACACTCACACTTACAATGTATTATCGGTCCTTTTTGTTCTTTATTCTTCTTCTTTCTTAAAACAAGAATCATCCTTTCTCTTCACAATATTCACTTCTTAAATACTCAACAATATGAGTAGTACGCAAGGAAATAAGAGAAACTCAGCATTCTTAATGACAACAGATAAAGAGTGCTCCAGAAGTTCTGAGGAAATTTTAAAATTTATTGTTCTGGCACATAACAAAAGCAAACTCTTCCAAACTTTCAGAGGTTAGTGTACATATGTAGTACCGCATGACTGCAAAGTTTGATGTCTATATCCTTTACTATAAATGAGTACATGAAAAAATATTATCATACACTATTTTTTCGATTTTCCAACAAAATAAACACATATAATGGAATGTAATAATGAGAAAACAATTACTATTTCTAGGATTTTTTTATTAACGAATTTAAGAGAAAAGAAAATTATTCTTTCACTCTCGCACGTTCATTTTTGTACGTGACAATTCGATGTATATAATTTATCTTTTTTTAAATGTATTGTATTAACAAGTAATAATCAAGATGACAATAAAATCGAAAAAATAGTGTATGATAATATTTTGTCATGTACTCATTTATAGTAAACAATATAGAAGTCAAACTTTGTAGTTATGCAGTACTACATATGTACACTAACCTCTGAAAGTTTGAAAGAGAGTTTGCTTTTATTACGTGCCAGAACGATAAATTTTAAAATTTCCTCAGAACTTCTGGAGCACCTTTTATACCATGCCATAACACAACGGACACCCACGCTCGACTAAATGTAATATACGGTAAATATCTCAACTTTCGTATTTTTTTATTTTGAATTAGAAGAACGGATGAATTAAATCAAAGGATACAAAAAATTTTACGTTATTAAATTAATTAATATTTTTTATGTTATTTTTGTCTATTGAAAATGATATACAGTTTAAATAAATATTATTATTATAGAAACCATAATTAATCATGTTTTGTTTTTTCACTATTCTTTATTCATTGATTAATAATAAAATATAAATTAGATTCTGTGTATTGACAATATTCTTTCTATTGTTTTCCTTTCTTTCAAATCAATTTATAGAATTTTTAAAACGGAATTAATTAAATCATGGAATTCTAAACTAATACCAAATTAAAAAGTATTATTGTATATTGATAAAAACCAAAATTGTCATTTTAAGATCAGAAGGATTTGATTATACTATGCATTTACTACTAATTCTTCGAAATCATAATACATTTTTAAATATTTTATGTATCTTGAAAAATACGAAATAAATCTATTATTATTATTATTATTAAAAACGTTCTCTAGGAGAAAACCCACATAGGTTTAATTTGTACATAGTTAACTCAAGATTTTAATTGTAAAAAAATTGAATGAAATGAATCATTTAAACAAATAATTTTATCAAATAAATATGAATAATTTTGTTCAGTTTTAATCCATTGTTGTTTCATTAACATAAAAATATCTCTTAATTTTTCAATAGTTGATGGAATTTTCATATAAATAATATACGATAATAAATTAAGTATACAAACTTTATTTAATTGATCTGAACATATTTCAATACCTGATTTTGATGTTCCATAAAGATCTGTTTCATATTCACGATGTACAACAAATAAATCATTTGAAATATCGCGTTCAAACTGTTGACATGTTATAAAATCTTGAGAGTGGATGACACCCACACCCGCACTCAACTAAATATAATATACGGCAAATATATCGAATTTCGTATTTTTTTTATTTTGAATTCGAAGAAACTATAGAAGTTTTTTAGAAAATAAATTGACAATGAAATTTCGTCATTGTCTCGATTTTTGTTTTTATTATAAAATGGAAATAATTATTTATTAAGTTTTTTTCTGTTACGAATCAAGCTCTGAAATAAGAGTGTGAATGTAGATGAGTGTGGATGTGGATGGGTGAGGGTGAGAGTCGGTGTGGGTGTGTGCGTGAGCTAAGAGAAGAGACACCCACAGCGTGTTATCGCTCCTTTCTGTTCTTCATTCATCTTCTTTCATAAAACAAGAATCATCCTTTTTCTTCACAATATTCACTTATTACATGCCCAACGATATCAATAGTACGTGAGGAAATGAAAGAGAATCAGTATTCTTAATGGCAAGAGATATATCATGCCATAACACAATACACACCCACATCCCCACCGACTAAACGTAATATACGGCAAAAATCTTGAATTTCGTATTTTTTTATTTTGAATTAGAAGAAACTATAGAAATTTGCTAGAAAATAAATTCAGAATGAAATTTCACCATCGTCTTGATTTGTTTTTTGTTATAAAATGCAAATTATTATTCATTAAGTTTTCTTTGTTACGAAAAAAGCTTTGAAACAGCATGATACCTTATGAATGCTTCATTGTCTAATATAAAACATGTATGTTATAACAGTAAAATAGTCGCAGAATTTTATTTTCTTATTGAACAACATATTTATCACACATATAAGAAAAGTCACTACGATGAGAATGTCCTCTCAACATATACAAATGAGTGCATGGGCAACAACGGATACTGATCTGACAAATCGTCATGATTTGTCGAAAAGCAAAAATGGAAACAAAACCGTTTCGAATGATTCTGGCATGGCCGATGGTAATCAACATCATTCAAATGATCAGAACAACAAACGGTAAGAAAAACAAACAATCAATTGAGCTATGATATAGGTCGCATTACTATGTTGCTTTTAGACGGACACTATCAGAATATTGTTCATCATTATTACCATTGTTTTATGGTCTATTATTAGGTGCTCTTATCGCTGGTTTAGGACTGGCTATTGTAACCACATTTTGGCTAACATCATCTAATGAGAACGCATCGACAAGAGAAGGTAAATATACAAGCTCTTCTCTAAAATTTTCATTAGCCAATGGTTTTCGAAATGATATCCTTACATAGAAAAGCCTATTACTCTATGAAGTTTAGTTATCTTTAGTGCATTTGATGTTGAATAAAGACAAAAACGGGTGGATGTGTTCACACTTACATCCACGACCAAATGTAAAAGTTCTCGACTCATATCAAATGTAGAAGTGGTCGTAACAATTATAAGACATCGTTTTTATATAGTAGAATCCGATCAGTACCATCGATGTGTGTGAGCCTTTCAGAATTTAATGACGCATGTTTCTTATCTAAAATTGAATATGAGGAATATTTGTTGATAGGATGGTCGATTACTGGTGCAACAAATTATGCTAGATATGTACACACAGCATCTGTACTAACAAATGGAAAAGTATTAGTTGCTGGTGGATCTGGTAGTAGCGTTTATTTAAATAGTGCTGAATTATATGATCCATCAACAGGAGTCTGGACAACCACTGGTAGTATGAATTATACTCGATATGCACATACAGCAGCTGTACTAACAAATGGAAAAGTGTTAGTTGCTGGTGGACAAGGGATTAGCGGCTATTTAAATAGTGCTGAATTATACGATCCATCAGCAGGAGTCTGGACAACCACTGGTAGTATGAATTATGCTCGATATTTTCACATATCATCTGTATTAACAAATGGAAAAGTGTTAGTTGCTGGTGGATTTTTTGCTCGCGGTTTCTTAAATAGTGCTGAATTATATGATCCATCAACAGGAGTCTGGACAACCACTGGTAGTATGAATTATACTCGATATGCACATACAGCATCTGTATTAACAAATGGAAAAGTCTTAGTTGTTGGTGGACAAGGGAGTAGCGGTTATTTAAATGGTACTGAATTATATGATCCATCAGTAGGAATATGGACAACCACTGGTAGTATGAATTATGCTCGATGTTTACATACAGCATCTGTGCTAACAAATGGAAAAGTGTTAGTTGCTGGTGGACAAGGGATTAGCAGTTATTTAAATAGTACTGAATTATATGATCCATCAACAGGAATATGGACAACCACTGGTACTATGAATTATGCTCGATATTTTCCCACAGCATCTGTATTAACAAATGGAAAAGTATTAGTTGCTGGTGGGTTTAATGGTAGCGTGTTTTTAAATGGTACAGAATTATATGATCCATCAACAGGAGTTTGGACAGTCACTAGTAATATGAACTATACCCGATATGCACATACAGCATCTATATTAACAAATGGAAAAGTGTTGGTTGTCGATGGATACGGTAGTAGCGGTTATTTAAATAGCTCGGAACTCTACGAACCGTAACTAACAAATAAATACTGAACACTCTTGCTTATGACACAAATTTTCTCAGAAGAATTGTTTTACTTTACTAACAATTGTGTTTTTCTTTTTAATATCTACGAGTTTGTTGTATTATCAAATAAATTCATCTTACAACAATGAAATAGTATATTGTTATAGAAAGTATACTATGGTGAAACAATGTCAGATCGAAAATCACAATGGTTTAAGACTTTGTTTATTAGCTGAAAGTAGTTAAGATCAAATAAAATTCTCACAAATATATTATGATTACATTTTCTTTTTACGTTATGCTCATTCTATTGCTTTGTTTAGAAAATATTACCATGAAAAAGATGCATTAGTCTTCATATTAAACAAGAAATTATTCTTCTTTTCTTATAGTATTACATTTTAATTAATAGTCAATATTTTAGAAAAAGATTCAAACGGCACTTGTTTTTCGTAGTTTGGTATTTCCAAAGAAAATACTGATTCTAGTTGTAACTATTAGTGCGTAATATCAGAGTGATAATTCATGGAGATGAAAAACGAGTTGGAGAGATCAACAACCATAACCGATTTCGTCTTAAGGGTAAGATAAGTTATCACAATACCATTAGTATTTCACTTTTATAAAGATTATTAAGTGGCTAGTATCAGTACAAGATACTTTTCACCTCTGTTCGTAGAGAAATAGACAGTCACTATTAATGCCTATCGTTGAGGGCGAATCAATACAAAACCTACTATATAAACCGGTAGAATCTCTACTAAACGAATGAATATTGCTATTACAATCATTTAGAGTATGAATGAAAGATGGGTGTGAGTGTGAGCGTGAGTCTTTATCGACTTTATGATTTCAGCCACATGACTACTTTTAATAATGGCTTTTTATTTTAGATTTAAACGGAAAGACATTATTTGCGTCTAATATAGAATAGTTGTACACTATGTATAATTCTTACAAAATACTATCAACAGCATTTATTTCATAGGTTTGCATGCAATATGTTTCATTATGAATATAAATTTAGTAGTGCATGCATGTATTGTTGCAAGATTTTTACTTTATCTATTCAACTTCTTCTTTTCTATCATTTCAAACCAATATTCTTCAAATAAAAATCGATAGTGCAAACGTTTTGCATGAATTCTGTTTTTAATATAATTTTTCTGGAAATTGTATTTGACAACCATAAAAATTCTTGAACTTAAAGGCTTTTAGCATAACTCTTTTATGAGTATCGTTTTCATTTACTTTTGATGATCTGTATTACTATGTATATGTATACAATGTTTATCACAATAAGATCATCAATGTTGTGTTGAAATAGTCGTACTAATATACAATAGAATAAACAGAAGATTATTTGATAAATAAATCATTTCACAAGTTAGTCACTTTAATATCTTATAGAATAGATTTCCTCTTGTCCAAATAACATTGTCTGACAGGCAATTTGATAAGTTTTCGACTACTTCTCTCTTGAGAGAAAACTTATTTTTCAACTGGTATCAGTAATGAATGATAATTACTTTTCCTTGCGAAAATACTATTCTGTGTTTAAATTATAAAACTTGAATTAGTAAATTAGATAAATGATGTACCATATTATTATTTGTGAAAAAGTCTTCTAATATCTTTAGCTCTAACAAATTCCTTGCATAGATTTAAAACAATGCACGATGAAGAGAGTAAACATTTGCTGAATAATTTATATTTCATTTTCTCTTCCATTTTAATGAGAGAATGCCACACGCACATTGACATACTGCAGTAATTACACAAATGAAGGAAACAGAGAAAAGGAAAAAATAACTATAAAACATTATCATTTGCTAGCTTCTTATTTCTTCGTTCTGTCGCAGACGTTGTTAAGAAATTTATTTGTATCGATTTGTCTTTTACTCTTCACAACAGTATCTTAAATAGTAACTAGTTGAAGTTTCTTTTTGAGTCCTGGCAAAAAAAAACACGTATTTTGCATACTGAGCAGAACAAAAAAATACGCCATTACCATTATAAATAAGAGCGGTGAGTTTTCTTACCATTCAGACAAAAATAACTGTTGTCAAGCTTATATTCAACGTCAAACTATAAAAAAAAGTACAAAACGTCTGCATCAAGATCAAATCAAAAACCTTTTTCACTATCAAACGCATTTATGAATAACAATAACACGACCATGACACCATTCGATGCTATTCAACCAAGGCGACGCATGGTCCAAAATTATACACTGCTCTGGTTAAATGAGTGTACGGGAGAAGCAAATGAAGATTATCAAAATATTTCGACACAATTAAAAACCATTACTGACAATGTCAATGTCTTTAAGCAACGAGATTTATGCATCGATTATCTTACAGATGCTCACGAGGACATCAAGTCTTTTCTTGTTGTCAAGGAAACTATGGCTCAACAAATAATGCCTCTCATTAATGATATTCCTCAGTTGCATAGTATTTATATCTTTAATGATACTAATATCCTAAATGAAGAATCGATAAGAAAATGGCAAAAAGTCAAGAGCGTTCATACCAATATCGATGACTTATGTCAAGGATTACAATTAAGCATTAAACAATACCATAAAGACTCGATAGCCATGAGTTTTATCACAGCAAAGGAAATGGCTTCAACTGATAATTTGAATCAATTGGAGCCATCATTTATGTACACCCAAATATTCAAGGATATTCTTCTTGATATGGAATATGATGCACAGACCATCAAACAGTTCACAGCTTATTGCCGACGTCTTGACAACGGATCGCCAAAGAATATTGATGAGTTTGAAAAAAAATATGATGCTCAGTCAGCTATTTGGTGGTACACTTCTCCGTCATTTATCTATTCAATGCTAAATTATGCTCTTCGTACTATGGAAGGCGACACCATTATTAATATGGGTTTCTTTATTCATGATCTTCACCAACAAATCCTACAACTACACCAACAACAGGTCGATACTTATCATGGCAAATCATTCATAGTTTACCGCGGACAAGGTCTATCCAAACCAAATTTTGAAAAACTTCAAAAAACAAAAGGAGGTTTAATGTCTTTCAACAACTTTCTATCCACTAGTACGGAACAATATATACCTCTCGGACTTGCCCGTAGTGCGTCAGAAAATACGGACATGGTCGGCATTCTATTTGTAATGTCTGTTGATCCCAGTGTAAAATCAGCACCATTTGCCTCCATAAAGGAAATAAGTTATTTTAAGGACGAAGAAGAAATTCTCTTCTCAATGCATACCGTCTTTCGAGTGGGTACAGTTGAAAAAATGGATAATAATAATCAACTTTATCAAGTTGAGTTACAATTAACATCGGATGATGATCCACAACTACGAGTACTTACTGATCGGATACGAAAAGAAGCTGATGGTGATACTGGATGGAAAAGATTGGGTAACTTATTGCTTAAAATAGGTCAATTTAATAAAGCTGAAGAACTTTATAACGTATTACTTGAACAGACATCTGATGAGGATGAAAAACAGCATTATTATAATCAGCTCGGAGGTGTTCATTGGAATCAAGGTGATTATGAAAAGGCTATTTGGTATTTCGAACAAAAACTTAAAATTTGTCTAAAAACTCTTTCTTCAAATCATCCTCGATTGGCTACTCCATACAACAACATCGGTATTGCGTATGACAAGATGGGAGACTACTCAAAAGCACTTTCATTTCACAAAAAAGCACTTGAAATCTTTGAAAAAACTCTTCCTTCAAATGATCCTGTATTAGCTACTTCATACAACAACATCGGTAGTGTGAATACAAAGATGGGAGAGTACTCGAAAGCACTTTCATTTTACGAAAAATCACTTATAATTCTGCAAATAATTCTTCCTTCAAATCATCCTGATTTGGCTACTTCATACAACAACATTGCTGGTGTGTATACAAAGATGGGAGAGTACGCGAAAGCACTTTCATTTTACGAAAAAGCACTTGAAATCGCTGAAAAGACTCTTCCTTCAAATCATCCTGATTTAGCTGCTTCATACAACAACATTGCCGGTGTGTGTGACCACATGGGAGAATACTCGAAAGCACTTTCATTTCACAAAAAAGCATTTGAAATCTTTGAAAAAATTCTTCCTCCAGATCATTCTTCATTGACTACTTTGTACAACAACATTGGTTTGGTGTATAGTAACGTGGGAGAATACTCGAAAGCACTTTCATCACTCGAAAAAGCACTTGAAATTCAAAAAAGAACTCTTCCTTCAAATCATCCTCATTTGGTTGTTTCATACGACAACATTGGTACTGTGTATAGAAAAATGAAAGAGGACTCAAAAGCACTTTCATTTTACGAAAAAGCACTTGAAATCGCTGAAAAAACTCTTCCTTCAAATCATGCTTCACTGGCTACTTTATACAACAACATTGGTTTGGTGTATAGCAACATGGAAGAGTACTCGAAAGCGTTTTTAGTTTACGAAAAAACACTTGAAATTCAAAAAAGAACTCTTTCTTCAAATCATCCTGATTTGGCTGCTACATACAACAACATCGGTATGGCGTATTACAACACAGGAGAATACTCGAAAGCACTTTCATTTCTCAAAGAAGCACTTGAGATCTTTGAAAAAACTCTTCCTTCAAAGCATCCTTCACTGGCTACTTTATACATTAACCTCTCTAGTGTGTATCGTAACATGGGAGAGCACTCGAAAGCAATTTCATTTTTCGAAAAAGCACTTGAAATTCTACATAAAACTCCTCCTTCAAATCGTTCTTTATTAGCTACTTTATAGAACAACATCGGTGGTGTATATTACAATATGAAAGACTATTCGAAAGCACTTTCATATTATGAATGTGCTCTTGACATATACCAGCGTGCATTACCTCCAACTCATCCTCATATAAAAATTGTAAAGAACAATATTGAAAATGTCAAAAAGATATTATAAGAAATAATTGATAAATAAAAGAACATTTTGTTCACTTATTCTTCAACTAATTCTATTTTTTAGTTGCTCGCGTGCGCGTATAAAGAGAAACTCTATAAATAATAAAACGTGAGGAGCACAGCTGATCGATAAGATAATACACATACAGCCTTATGTGTGTAAATTACTTTCTGAAACATATTCAAATTTTTGATTCTTAACTAGAGTGTTCTCTGTAATAAAAGAAAAATAACTTACATGGAATTATATTGCAATAGTATTGAACGCGACCTCGCGTGATCAAGAAAAAGGTAACAAGTACGATATATATATGCATATGTTACCAGTACACGGTTTAATTGAATCTATCAGGTAGTATTCATTATTAATAAGGAAGAGATGAAGATAATAATCATTTATTAATGATGTGTTGATAGTTTAGACATATTGTAGTTACGACAAATTATAACTTTTTATAACGTAGAGTGTTGGTGTGTAATGAATATAATACTTATATTGCGCTTACATCCAGGTCTACACTCACACCCTCAAGATAGCATTGATATACAAAATGAAGATTTCTTATATTTTAAACAATAATCTAATTAGAATTACAAGTTAAAAATAATATGCCATTCAAAAAGTTATTTTCCAAAGTTAAATCAATTTCGGACGCCTTCATATAGAAAAAAAGATCATATTTTTTAGATATTTGCTTAATGGTATGATGTAATTATTTCAACTGCCTACATCTCTAGTCGTCATTTGCGTAATAAACAACAAGATTTCTTCGCTTTTCATGATTTGTTAATGTAACCTTCATAGAAAAATTAAATAATATTTTATATTATAAAAGTAAAGTCGTTTGTGTTCCGAATTACATTCATACCAATTAAATTTTCCATTTCTATCAAAATCTATATAGTTCTTGTACGATGCACTTAATACTTGAACTAATTATACTTCAGCTAGGTGATTCAAAGGAACAACATCATTTGATAAATGAAAATAATAAGACAATGAGAGTATAGGTACAGGTACAAGCTCATATTTTGTTTACTCACACCCTAAATCTAATAGTTAGATTCTCTTAATGGATTGTCAGATCTAACTTAACTCTTATACTATAACATAGCAAACATCGACATCTATTTATTTATGTATCATTAAAATTTATTATTTTCTGTTTTAATAAACTATTGATTTCTAATATTAACATGTATTTTATTAAAAACAATTAGATGCCACTAGTTGACAACACTACATGAAAAAGAATTTACATCTATAGTTACTAGTATCCAATAAGAGTTTCGATAGCAACGGCTATTCATTCTCAATTATATTTCAAACATGTTTTTTCTTCTTATTGTATAATACGAACTTAATATATAATATAACATTCATTTGTATTAAATTCATATATAGATTTTAATCATTAAACATTATCATCATGGAACAAGCATTCGCACAAAATTTAATGCAAGCGGCGCAAGCCGTCGAACAACAAGTAATTCTATTGGGAATATGAACTCATCTATCATATATATGATTTTAATCTAGGTTGATGATGAACTTAATCGTTTAGAAAAATTAACAGAAAGTGATATTGAAAAAATGCGTAATCAACGACTTGAAACAATGAAACAAGAACATAAAAAACGACAAGAATGGCTTGCTAATGGTAATTGATTAATACTTTTTAAAATTTTATATGTATTATATAATTATCGCTAGGTCATGGTGAATATGAAGATTTACCAAGTGAAAAAGAATTATTTGATATAACAAAAAAAAGTGAACGTATTGTTTGTCATTTTTATCGTGAATCAACAATGCGTTGTAAAATCGTTGATAAACATTTAGAAGCTTTAGCACGAAAACATATTGAAGCAAAATTTGTTAAATTAAGTGTTGATCGTGCTCCATTCATCACCGAACGTTTAAATATAAAAACATTACCAACTATTGCTTTATTAATTGATAATATTGTTAAAGATAAAATCATTGGCTTTACAGATTTAGGAAATCATGATGATTTTTCTACTGATGTTCTCGAATGGCGTTTAGGTGTAGGTGGTGTTATTGATTATAAAGGTGATTTAAATTCACCACCTGATAATAATGAAAGGAAGAAAAAGATAACTGTATTTGGAAAAAAACCTAAAACTATACGAAATGGAATGGGTGGTGACGATGATGATGACGATAATGATGCTGAAGATTAAATCAACATTTACTTTTAGTTTGTTATTTCATTTTAAATCATGTTTTTGTTATACGTATACGTGCATGTGTGTTCTTGTTTCTTTTTCTGTAGTATACAAATAAAATAATATCAATGTCTGATTTATATACTATCGATATGTGTGATAAATTGTTGATTGGAAAGACAAAGGTTCCTTTAGTTATGTAAATTTAGATTCTTCTAGGACATACGATATGAAGAATTAATCGACAGATGTAATAATTGACAAGTAAACCTAATAATCCAATCAATCATAGAACACTTGAATGTTTGACGACTATATTTTGATTTCTTCTTCATATATTAATTTCATTATTAATGTAATCTGTCATAACAGATATTTTTTTTTCATTTTACCAACTATTTCTATATCAGACATATCAGAATCAATGAATAACAGTAAGTCTCTATCACCGTTTGATTATCAAGATCAAAATCAAAGAAGAAATTTTACAACGACTACATATTATACTCGTTCTCTGGAACAATTATCGTCAGTGTCGACTCTCGAAGATTATAAAGTTACTGCTATTCTTAGTATATCACTTTTCATATTTTTATTATCAATTCTAAGTATTCTTCTTATATTAAAACATGTACAAAAAGAAAATACAAAAATACAACGAACACGAGCTATTATTAGAAGACGTTGTACACCAAAACCAAGTAGTTCTGATGATCCAGATGGTACATTACTCGAACAAAATAATAAAATTCGTATTGTTTCAAATCCTTTTTTAAGTAAATTATATTCAAGCAATCCACTTCTCGCACAAAAAAATGAAACAAATAATAGTTATGAATTAAAAGATCTCAATTTAAACAATATGCCACTTCGTCGCGTAGAATTACCTGATCATAAATTATCCCGACAGACTACTATTCATATTCTTGATGAATAATCTGTCAGATGATATATGAAGAACGTTACTTACACCTAAAATATTTTATCTACTTAATGCTTTAATAGTATTTATAGTTGGCTTGATTAATTATTTTTTATGTAACTTCGCTTTTCTTTTTCGTTATTTATTACTGTTTAATTTTCCTAAAAATATATTCTAGAAAAATAAAATTCTTAATTATCATTGTTCGAGAATACTAATATCAATTGTTGATTGTTCATTCATATTTTCATTCCATTGATAATTCATTTGTTTAAGTCTTGCTTTAATATAATCGATAACAACAATATTATCATATGAAAATGATTTTGGCCACCATCCTTGTAAATAACTAACATGTCCACCTTCTAAAGTCTTAATTGCAATGATAGATGGATTTTGTAAAACATCTTCAACCGGTAAACCATCAATAGGACAT